CACTGATTCTTCTCAAATGAACGCAGTTCCCAGAAAGAAGACAAATAGATGTGTTCCAGGTTCCTGACCAGCAACTCACAAACTGTCACTTCCGGAAAGTCGCATAACCCTGAGGACGCCACTCTCACTACATTTCCCAACAGTGTCTTCCTGATAATGATAGGAAAAGCCTAAACTTCCAGCAGAACACTTAGCACCTGTGAGCACATGATCTGGCATCCTGTCTTTCCCAGGGCGCTCAAAGCATTCCGAATGCAGAGACGTTTATTTTCTTGTCTTTGTACTTCCAGCACTTAGGATGGTGGTGGAGCAAATGTCAGTTACATGTGATTTAAGGAAAGAAGAGTTTACTTTAGGCTCAGAGTTGGAAGGTGTAGTTGATTCTGACAAGGAAGGCAAGGTGCCAAGAGCTGGAAACAGGTAGTCAGATCATGTCTACAGGAGGAAGATGGTGATGAATGCTTATGCTCATAATTGACGGCACAGGAACGAAACCACCAAAATGGCTGCTCCATGATCTAGGAGTAAGGTGTCTATTGTGGATAAGAAAGAGAGAACATCCAGAGCCAAGAGAAGGGGACGAAGACTAGACATGGCTAAGGTTATCTGTGAGAGCAGATAATAGCAAAAATAGCAACAGTGGCAGGCGGGAGATCCTTGCCATCATACAGAGGCAGGCGGGAGATGCTTGCCATCATACAGAGAACCCTTTAGGTATCTGGGAAGAGAGAACCCTGTGAACTCTAAGAGTCTGGGAGCTATGTCTGGAAGAGGAGTGGAGGAGGTAAGAAGGCCAAGGGGGCTATCTGGAACTCTGAAATGCACTCCTTACAAAGGCCTGGGAGCCTAGCATTGACTTTGGTATGCACTATAGGTACATGTCAAGAGGGAGCCAGCTGCCTCATCTGAGAGAAGGGTTTATGGAAAAGGCACTCTTTCTGGCAGACAGAAACCCTTTTTAAAAGGGTCGCCAAGGAATGGATTTTCTAACCTGCTTTCATGTAAGTGGATACTGATGAAATAAAATGTACATAGGATCACTGAGCCTGAAAAGCAAACTGAAGTCACTGAAGATACCAAAGAATAAAGATGACAGTTATCTTTAAATCCCCCAGACCATTTGCAAAAGTAATGTGAAAGGACAATTTTGAATGACCTGCAGCAGAATTAAAATTACTTGATATAACACAAGTAAATAATCTGAAGACCAGAAGATCATTTAGGAAGTTAGAGGAAAACATGGCAGCAATGACCAGAACAGGAAGTTGAAAGATCACATCTCCAACCATAAACATGAAGCGGAGAGAGGTTGACCTGGAAGTAGGAGGAGAATACAAGCCCATAAAACTCACCTCTAGTTACATACTTCCTCCTGCAAGGCTGTAACTCCTACATTTCCCCAAACAGTGCCACCAACTGGGGATTAAGTGTTCTAATTCCTGAGCCCATGGCAGATATTTCTAATTCCAGCCACCACATCTTCTTAACATTTTTTTAGAATGCTAAATGATAAAGATGTAACTTTCTATTGGCATAGGCTTGTGAAAATTGTGTTAGGAAATGTCATATTCAAAGGCTGGTTTTAGCATTTCTTTACTAATAACTGCTTACTGTTTCTATTGACACAGCAGTTTAATTTAGTTTATCTCGAATAACACTACATTTAATCATAGGATTGAATATAGAATATTTATAAAGAATAGCTACATGAGAAGCACTGTTTACTAACTGTAGATACTGAATAACTTTCCAACTCACTGTGTATGATTCCACATCACTAAGTTTAATGCAATTGTGGTTTTAGATTTGGGACAGGAGCATTCCAAATGCACCCCAGATGTTTTTTGGGTTTTTTGTTTGTTTGGTTTGGTTTCTTTGGGTTTTGTTTTTTTGTTTGTTTTTTGGTTCTTGGTTTTTTTTTTTTTTGGTTTTTTATTTTTTGTTTTTTGTTTTGTTTTGTTTTTTTCCAGACAGGGATTCTCTGTATTGCCTAAGCCTGTCCTAGGACTCACTCTGTAGACCAGACTGACTTCGAAATCACAAAGATCACCTACCTCTTCCTCCCCCGAGTGCTGGGATTAAAGACATACGACACCAATGTCCTCCCCCCATGTTTAAGCACTTGTGCAGCAGAACCAATTTCTCCAGGACTTGTGTTTGTATACCTTTCTAGATGCTTGGAATGTGAGACTCCTGAAATTGTTAGAATTCTGTCTTTTCTTGTTCTGTTCTGTAACAGTCTTTCTGTGTTCTCCCCCATTCAGCCTCCCAAATGGGGATTTTTAAGTGAAAGATTATGTGAGTCGGATAAGGGCCTGGTAGGCAGACAGGGAATCAGACCTTAAGTAAACGAGATAGCAGACTTCTGGCTTTCCCCAAAAGGAGACCTTTCTGACTGACTTACCTGAACATGCTCTAGGCAGGTCCTGGGTATATCTAAGCTTGCACAAGTAAAATTCTATGGACCTACTCTCCTGTTTTCAAACTCATCTATCAAAAAAGGGGAGGAGGAACCATCCTATGCTACCAACACACCTAAAAGTCCCAGTCCTCCAGGGCAAGCAGATCTCAGTTTCTGTCTCCTTCATACCTATGACCAACCAATCTGTTCTTTTGTGGTGTGTATTTGTGTGTGTGTTGTGTTTGGTGTATGGTATGTGCGTGTGTTGTGTCTGTATGCGGTGTGTGGTATGTGTGTGGTATGCCTGTGTGGTGAGTTTCTGTGGTGTGTGTGTGTGTGTGTGTGTGGTATGTGTGTGTGATGTGTGTGTGTGATGTGTGTGAAAGTGTTTTATGGATTTTTTTATTTATTATTTATTTATTTAACGTGCACTAGCTTTTTTTGTTTTTTGTTTTTCGCCAGTATATACTCTATGTGAGGGTGTCAGATCTCCTGGAACTGGAGCTACAGACAGTTGTCAGCTGCCATGTGGGTCCTGGGAATTGAACCTGGGCCCTCTAGAGGAGCATCCAGCACTTTTAACCTCTCAGCTATCTCGTCAGTCCCCCCAAAATGGCTTCTCTGCAAAATAGGTCTTACTTCTAAATGAGACATGAATGACTTAAAGTTGCTATACTATTTCCTAAACTAATGCAGAACAAGCACAAATAAACTTTATTCACAATAAATTTTGGCATAATTTTATGGAATTTTGAATAAATGAGTTCAACATATGGATGTGATGTCTATTTTTTAGGCTAATTTGTCCATTTCATCTAAGTTTTTGTTTCTTCCTTAATAGACCTTACTTTCATATTAAGCTTTATATTTAATTAGTTGATGATGGAAATTTAATGTATAAATGCCCAAAATATTTTCCATCCATATCATTTATTCTTAGTTGAGAATCTATACATATACAGCTCAATTTCATATGTAAATACATATTTTTAAAGTTTTACTTTTATTTGTGTATCTATTTGTTTAGGTTGTTTTGTTTGTTTCTTTGAGACAGGGTTTCTCTGTGCAGTCTTGGCTGTCCTGAAATTCACTCTGAAGACCAGGATGGCATCTAGCTCAAAGATGCCCCTGCCTGCCAGAGTGCAGGGTTAAAAGTGTGCACTCCCACCACCTGGCTTAAAGTTTTATTTTTATTTATGTGTCTATGAGTTAACTGCAAAAGCCAGAAGAGGGGGTCAGAGACCCTGGAGCTGGAGGTACAGGTCACTGTGGGTCACCAGATGTGAGGCCAATAACAAAACTCCATCCTCTGCAAGAACTGCAAAGCCTCTAAATGGCTGGGCCATGTCTCCAGCCCAAGAACACATACTTCTAAAGTACAGACTTGTAAAACTATGAAGAACTAAAGTTTAGGAAACGATGTGTTGAATACATACACATATATATATATGTATATATATATATATACACTATTCATATAAGGGACACAATTACAGAGTTTAGTATCTAGGTGGGTTTAGGATCACGGAACTAAACGGCACACAAATGTGATCATATTTGTGCCAAACATCCTACTGAACAGTCATCTAAGTAGAAAGGTGTTTAAAGTAAAAAGATGGAATGGTGATTGGGGTTTGGTAGTCTTTTTGCTTGTGTGAGTTTTTGTTGTTATTGTTTTGGAGTTTTTTGTTTTGTTTTGGATAGCAGCCTCCCCAAACAACAGAAATGGTTGTTTTCAATTTGCCAGTAGGGGAATAAAAACAGCAAGTTTCCTGGTAGAGGAGCACGTCGCAGGAGCTAAACACCTCGATTTGTCACACTATGACAGCTGACAGCGCTTACCTCTCGACCTCACTCCTGAAGTGGCAGTCACTGAGTAAAGACTGGAGTGGAGACCAGCTGATGGTTGCTTTCAGGAAGTGGGACGACATCAAAGTCACCTAGCTCCCCAGCAGGAGTCATCCCTGCCCCTTCACCCCCGGGTTTGGAAGCTAAGGCAGACACCTGGGCCAAAGGAAAATCCGGCGTGGACGCCACTGCAGGGACTTTCCCCAGAGGAAAAGTGCTCCAGGCCCGAGCGGAGCCACAGGGCTGGGGTGGGTGGGGGGGAGCTGAGCACCCCTCCTGCTGACGCTACCGGGAGCCTGGGGAGGGAGGAGCCTGGGGAGGGAGGAGCCTGGGGAGGGAGGAGCCTGCAGAGGGAGGAGCCTGCAGAGGGAGGAGTCTGCGGAGGGAGGAGGGAACAGAGGGAGGAGCCTGCGGAGAGAGGAGACTGCAGAGGGAGGAGTCTGCGGAGGGAGGAGGGAACAGAGGGAGGAGCCTGCGGAGAGAGGAGTCTGAAGAGGGAGGAGCCTGCAGAGTGGACCCTGCGGAGGGAGGAGCCTGCGGAGGGAGGAGTCTGCGGAGGGAGGAGCCTGCGGAGAGAGGAGACTGCAGAGGGAGGAGTCTGAAGAGGGAGGAGCCTGCAGAGTGGACCCTGCGGAGGGAGGAGCCTGCGGAGGGAGGAGTCTGCGGAGAGAGGAGACTGCAGAGGGAGGAGTCTGCGGGGGGAGGAATCCGCGGAGGGAGGAGCCTGCAGTGGGAGCGGCCAAGGGGTAGAAGAAGAAGGTTGAGGAGTTGGGTGGAGGGAGGAAACCGCAGAAAGAGAAGCGAGGGAGGAGCGCGGAGGGCGGAGGAAGGTCCTCCCTGGCGCGGCCGCAGACGGACGGACTCCCAGGGACAGCCGGCCCGGCCGGAACTGCAGCGGCCACGCGGGAATGGGCCGCCCCGCGACCTGACGCCGCACTGCCCCGACCGCGGCCAGCGTCGAGCGGAGCCGCCGCTCAGCCGGAGCCATGAACGGGGACGCCATCTGCAGCGCGCTGCCTCCCATCCCCTACCACAAGCTCGCCGATCTGCACTACCTCAGCCGCGGCGCCTCGGGCACCGTGTCGTCGGCACGCCACGCGGACTGGCGCGTGCGGGTGGCCGTGAAGCACCTGCACATCCACACGCCGCTGCTCGACAGGTAGGGTGCAGACGCGGGGACGCACGCCGACGCGGACCCGCACGGCCACAGTCAGGCCACCCTGACCCTGATGCTGACGCGCCCAGCTCCCCGCCGCTGCGAGTCCTTAGCCCTGGGGCTATCCTGGTCCAAGGGAGAAACTGCCCTGGACGTGCGTCAGAGTTTCCAACTCGCCTCTCCTCCCATCCGAGGTGTCCGCTCTCTCCTCCAAAAACCTGCAATCACAGCCACCTCTAAAAGCCTGTTTATTGAACCCGACGTGTGTTGATACAGTGCATGTGGGCTTAGCTCTATTTTTAGCTAGCTGTTAGCCACAAGAGCTGTGGAGCTCCTTAAACCGGGCTCTTGGAAATGAAATATGCAGGGAGTGCAAAATGCACACCTGATTTTGAATATTTTTAAAAAGTGTACCAGTGTCTTTATATTGAGTACATGTCAAAACATTTTTCTAGGGTTCTATATGTTTCACTCCATATTTTTATTCATCAGCGCTGCTCCAGAGCCTGCATATTTTGCTTTGGTTTGATCTGATTGGTTTTGTCTTGTTTGTGGCAAATGCAGAGTTTGATATCTGAACTTCACGACTGGTCATGCAGTTGTCAAGTTCAGATAGCAAACTCTGCTTTAGCCCTTGTTATTCAAGATCTTACTTTGGAAGTCCTCAAAGGAAGTGTGCGCTGTTTTTGTAACAGTAAATTGAATTCAAACATTGTTAAATGGTCAAAAATTGGGAATATAAAAAAAATTTGACTGCCTCACATTCTGATATTATTTGGGTCCAGTTTCCACATCAGGAAGAAAAAAAAATAGCCTTGGTTTCTGTTTCCAGGAAAGCATTACAACTAAATACCGTGGGTCTGTGGACTGTATTGTTAGTCAAAGAGTCTAGTCAGTACTCTTGTGTGTTTTCCTTTCTTCAGGAATTAAACAAGACCCTCATTCAGTTCTTAATGCATTCTCTTCTCCTGCATCTCCTGTGAAAACACAGGAATCATAGCCGCCCTATTGGCCACAGGCTGTCAATGTCTGGTGTAAGGTCATATTCAGCATCAGGGACCTCTTTTGGCTTCAGCCCTACTGAAATATTGGACTTTCATGGGCTAGATCATGTTGTAGTTTGGAACACTAAAACTTTCTGTGCACCATGATCCAGATTCAGTAATATATAAGATATAATGCCTGTTTATACTGGGCCTTTTAGTCAGTGGAGCCAGTGCTGGGTAAAGTGTGGTAGTCTGTGATCAACTTTAAAGGGAGATTTGGTTAGAAGCGAGGTAAACAAATATTCTATGGATATGTAGCACTAGTAGACCACTGAGTATACCAAAGTGATTTCTCTCTTTGGATTCTGCTTTCCAAGGTTTTTATTTACCTAAGTGTTGTGCTTTTTGTGGGCCAAGTGGTAAAGACGGAGTAGCTTTCTGGTATTCACCAACCACATCATCGTATAATTTCATTGACTTGGATAGAAAATTATCTTCCTAAGACCAACAAAACCCTGTAGCCGTACTGTATTGCACTCTTTTCTCTTATTGCCTAAGATCTTAACAAGTGCATAGGCCTAGGCTTGTGCAATTGACTTTGGGTGTCTTATTTCCTCACTTATAAAATATGAATAATAAACATACATATATTTGTTGTGCTCTATCTAGTATAGATAAAGTGTCCATTGTTCTTTAAGATGACCTGAAAGGAAAATAAATTTATGTGACGTTGCATATTATTTTAATGATTAATGAGTCATTCTCTGTAGCCAATGAGTGGGCCTAACATAGCAGTCTTCCTACCTGAATGGATAGATGACTCCTCTTGGTACCTTAGAGATGGGGTAACTGTTTCCTATTGAAATTTTGAGTTGGGTAATTTTGGTGATATGATTGATTGAAACTGTCTTTTACATTTTTAGCTTTCTTAATCTGTTAATATTATTTCCCCCCTCAGTCTTGTTGAAATCTAACCTTACAAACTGTCCAACTTGCTTTCCTGGTCAAACAATAAACTAGGAAAAACACAGAGCTTGGAGTACCAGGACTACAATTTGAGTCTGACTTTTATCCTGTGACTTTGTATGGTTGTGGTCACCAGAGGATCGTTCATTTCTCTGACTCTGGGTGCCCCTGTATGTAAAGTGGGGGTGATGGAACCAGCCTTAGGTGATTCAATGGTTGGAGTGTTTATAAAGTGGCTGACACGAAGGAAGAATACATCAGACTTTTTCATATGTGTGTACACGTGTGTTTCTGTTCATGTATACACATGTTGTATGTGCTGGTTTATGTGCATGATATGGAGGCCAGGGGTCAACTTCAGGTATTGTTCCTCAGAGCCACCATTTATCTCGACAGAAGGTTAATGTTTCCAGAGTGTTTTATTGTTGTCGGCTTTTTTATATGGATTCTGAGGAATCAAACTCAGATCCTCCTGTTTGTGTAACAACCACTTTATCAGCTGTGCTGTCTGCCAACCCCTTGTTTCATACTGTGAAGAGAAGGAGGAAAGAGGATCTTGTATGTGTGTGTCTCTGGAACTTCACAGTGCACCCTCTCTGTGGATGTTCCTCAGTATCCAGGAATCTTCAGGCTCATCCCATAAGGAAAACACAGCAACTGTCTTGTTGACCCATATCTCTTGGACAAATATAGAACTTGAGAAACTGAAATTTAATTAAATGGAACTCACAGGTTGATATAACTGGTTTCCTTACCATCAAGGTCATGGACAGAGAATAGAGAAACTTTTTGCTTTATGTTTTCTTGCCAACTCCTGAATTTAAAACATAAAATGTGTTGCCTACTCAAAGAATAAATAACTTCTAACCATGGTTGGGTGTGTGTCTGTCTGTGTGTGTGTGTGTGTGTGTGTGTGTGTGTGTGTGTGTGTGTGTGTTTGTGTGTTTTGAGCAGTCTGGTCAGGAATGTCTGTTGCTAGTCTCATTTCAACATTTCTTAAGAGCCAACTAATCATCTGCACTTACCCAATAGGCTTCTCCTGGAAGCGTTTCTATTTATGTCATTGCTACCAACACCCATGCATCTAGGGTGTTAAAAAATGAAGATGGCATCAATATAATTTCTCTTCCTTTGTATATTCTCTAAAGTCTTTCACAGCCAGTCAGTCTCAACATCTACCACGCTTTTCAGCCAGTGGTTTCTTTTTTCTTTCACTACTTACTACTGTATAGTTTCAGGCTCCCCCTGCTTTGTATCGAAGTTATTACAATCTTCAAAACTGTCCCTCTTTCTGTTAATTCCATATACTGTACCAACATAATTATCTTCCAACTGAATTTTACCCATTTCTCTTGCTTAGAACCTTCAGTCACAGCTGGTGGTCAACCTCCTTGGGAGTCTTGGGACCCTGGCATGTTTGATTGGCCATCACTTCTTTTACATGTGGCATATCCTAGTTCATATTAAGCAGCCAGTTTTACTTTCACTTCTGTAATTCATTTGACCATGTATGTTGAGCATCTGCTGTGTTACTGGATAGGAGGCATTGTTGTAAGTCTCGGGGATGGGTACACATGCGCAAAAGAGAAGCAAGGTCTGACCTTTCATGGAGGCCTCATTCACTTTATATGGCTTCTCTCTGGTGCTGAATTCTGGTCATACTTCAGGTTGCACTGAAAGCCTGTGTCTTTGAAGACTGTGGTGACTTGCTCAAAATTCTCTTTCCTCTGAATGCCCCATAGTTTGCTTTTCTTTTTTTCTTTGTGTGTGTGTGTGTGTGTGTGTGTGTGTGTGTGTGTGTGTGTATCATGTAAAATATATGATACTTATCACATTCTTCCTTGTATTATTTACTTTCTTATGTGAATTATGGGCCTTTACAGACAAAGATGCCTTTTTGTCTTTGTAGGCTCTGAAATACTGACCATAACTCGATTTGTACTAAAAGTTAACCATTTACCTATTTTATTCATGCTCAAGGCATGTGGTATACCAGAGATAGGCTGTGAGTGCTTCCCTGTTCTCTGTTCTTTTCCTGAGTTTGGTATGTGACTTCTAAGCCTTACTGACTTTGATGTATAGCCATCATCATCTACGCCAGAAGTTCTCAACCTTTGGATTACATCCCCTATTGAGGTCAAATGACCCTTTCACAGGGGTCCCTTAAGAACACTGGAAAACACAGATATTTCCACTATGATTCATAACAGTAGCCAAAGTTACAGTTACAAAGTAGTAATGAAAATAATTTTATGGCTGGGGCTCACCACCACAAGTGTTAAAAGGTTTCAGCATTAGGAAGCTGGAGAACCATTGATCTAAGCAAATACATCTGCAATATTTTTAGGGTTCATGTTTGGAAAACTTTTGCATGTCTATAACCATAAAACCTATGGCTGTAAAATATATTTGGTTACTCCATTTAATCTTAATGATTAGTTCAAGCACCCGTCATTCTAACATAGGTCAACTTTTGGAGCCTCCTCTCACACTGTCCCTACTCTTTCCTGGGAAAGGTACAGTAATAGCCATGTGTAGCACTTCTGCCATCAGAGGAAAGTACAGTAATAACCATGTGCAGCACATTTACCACCAGTGGTTTATAGACGTTACTTTGGCTGTTCTCTAAACAGACCAGTAGAATACATAAAGTGGGTATTATCTATAGTTTAAATAGGACAAAACTAAGGGACACAGAAGATGAAAACTCATATGAGGCTACATAGTTAATTAATGAGAAAAATCCAAGCTTAATTAATCTGTGGGTATGGTCATTGTATGTTTTTTTCATTATCTGAAATAATTATCCTTTTTTTTCCCCTTAGTGAAAGAAATGATATCTTACGAGAAGCTGAAATACTACATAAAGCTAGATTTAGTTACATTCTTCCAATTTTGGGAATTTGCAATGAGCCTGAATTTTTGGGCATAGTTACTGAATACATGCCAAATGGATCATTAAATGAACTTCTACATAGAGTAAGTACTGTTTGTTTCCAGTAACTACAATTACTAGTTAGTCTGCTCAAACTATATATCATATTTTGTTCTTCATTCAGTCGCATTACTTTGTAGTATATAAATGAATCGAGTAAGAATATGAAGCACTATGAACTGATGAACTTTACCTGTTGTGCCTTTGTTTGTGTTGGTACAAAGTACTGTGGCTGGAACTGGGCTTGAATTCAAAGGTCCTAGAATATTTCTCATTGGTAACTCTGACATTCCTACTAAACCCCAGTATCCATATATATTCATACACAAATAGGCATGGGAAATAGATGAGATGAGTTCCATACACTATATAATCCATGGTTAATCGATATTTTTTATTAGTGACTATTTAGGATCCAAATTAAGTATTATTAGTTAATGGACCAAGTAAACAATCTTCAATGACAAGATACTTGACATTTTTCTATCTATAGAAGTTGACAAGATACATGACATTTTTTTATCTATAGAAGTTTGAAGCATTTCTCAAGGTATAAGTTACTCTGGCTTTTATTTGTGAATCCTATCAACAAACAAACTCGGAGTCCTCATTCTCAAAATACATGTATTCTGTTTCTATTTTGGCTTGATCTGACACCTTGATTCTTTCCAGTCTGCATTTGCTTTCACATCTTTTTAGGTCAGACGCTCCAATTTATGAAGATTGGGGCTAATTACAATGCATAATACCTGTGGATGCCTATGGCACTCCCACATTATAGTAGATCACATTGTTTTCTACACAAGCAAGGGAAAGTGGGCACCACTGTCAGCCACTCATGGAGTGACTTCCTCTTTGTTTCAGAATACATCGCATTCTATTCATGGCTTGTGACCATCTGAAACAAAGATGGACTGAAGTAACTGGTGTCAGTCTGTAAGGTTTGTGTACCTGCTCCAGCAATCAAGTTACAAAGATTCCATAAAGCAGTTTCTTTTTTGTTGTCTGAGAAATGAAATTGAAGCAGAAATTCTAATGTTTTCTTTCCACATCGTTATAGATACTCTGGCACCCAGATTTGGAGCCCACTGAAATTCTGTAGCCTTCTCTAGGATTTTTCCTAACTCTTAGATGTAACCATAAAGTATAGAGTGTCACTCTACCCTTGACTCCATGAGGAAAAGCCTCCATATGACACTGCCATTCAGAGGCCCCGTAGTTACTTTATACTTCACAATACTTTGAAAAGTTGCCTCTTTACAGACCAACAAAAGATTCAGTTGCTCCAAGGTATTGAGCTGCATGTGTTTCCCAGGAGGTAATGCTCCATGTTAATGTCTTGTGTTATTTTTGGTTTCCTTGGTATGTTAACCCTAAATAATACACTGAAGCACTCACCCCCAACATCATAAAAGATCACTGAATAAAATAGAGATGTGCTATAAACCGCCTACAGCATTTTGAACCACCTCCTATCAATTGGTCACTGAAATTTAAGCAGACTTGATTTCAAAAAGAATCCTAAGGCAATTTTGGCACTTCAAAAAAAGGTGACTTTTACATAGTATTTGTTTTGGGCTCTGATGAGCCATTTCAAAATGTCTGATTTTTCTGAGTGTATATATCCTCCTGGGAAAGTGCATTAACTTTTATATTCAGAAAACATTTAAAGAAACTTAAGTGAGTCTTTGTTTAAAAAACAAAATAAAAATAATGATCTTTGTTCCACAAGAAGAAAACTCTCAAAGGTTGATGTTTCAAGAAGTAACCTAGAAAATAAAGTATGAGATACGGGTCAGGGAGATGGGTGAGAAGGTCAGGCACTTGCCACCCAACAAAACAAGCCTGATGACCTGAGTTTGACCCCAAAGCCCATGTAAAGGTGGAAGAAACTGGCTTCACAGAGTTGTCCTCTGACATCCACACTCCCAACGTGGCACATGTACCCCCATCACATCGTAAATACATGCATACATACATACAGACTATAGTAACAAACGTTTTCAGGTATGAGACACTACAAGTAATATAATCTCAATTTTAACTGACATAGAGATTACAGTGATAATTGCAGCTTTAAATTAATATTAAAAAGTTAAAATTTTGAATGAATGGTTTGATATGTCAGAAGCATGTTATATTTTTTCTGTATGTATGTGTGTTTGTGTGTATAAGTTATTTGATAAAGACATAGACGTGATCTGTGGATTGGGGTGTAAATACATGTGTCTGACTTTACATGCATACAAATAACTGAGAGTTGTGTCTGCTACAGAATGAGGCAGTAATACCATGCAATTGCATGACCAGTATAAAAAGAGAAATTCCACTGCCATGGTTACCATCACATCATTAACAATTAAAGAAAGTCAAATATAAGAATACCAAACAATAGCATTTGATACTGTTATAAAATTGAGCATATTTTTATCCCAGTTTATAATCTATGTCCTCATGGATTCTTAGTTTTTAACTATGAAATTAAGGCAGTAGTAATTCTTATTTTTGTTTCTTTTACACATACAAAGAAAACAGAATATCCTGATCTTGCATGGCCATTGAGATTCCGCATCCTGCATGAAATCGCTCTTGGTGTAAATTACCTGCACAATATGAACCCTCCTCTACTGCATCATGACTTAAAGACTCAGAATATCTTGTTGGATAATGAATTTCATGTTAAGGTAATGGCTTCGGTAAAAAACTTCCTCTGGGTCTTCGTTCTTAATAATTCTGAAAAATAGTTTTAGTAGTGTCTTAATTTCTCTCTTCAGTGCCAGCTCTCGTGCAGCTTGGGGCTGGGAAACCTGGCTAGCTAGGTGAAGGGATGACGTATCTCAGGCTATGAAGATCCTGGCGAGGAAGCTCCACTTCTGGGTTTTGAGCACACTGCCCACATTTGCCCTGGGACGGGGGGGGGGGGGGGAGCTCTGCCACTCCTCTGGGTCTGAGGCATTTGTTCCTTGACATGGCCTTGCCTACGTCAGCAGTATTCATTCACCCAGGGCTTCCTCGGCTCGACATTCCAGCCCTTTCTTGCAGTGGTCCAGTTATTCTTTGTTGTTGGTTTGTATGACGAAGGGTCTCACTGTGTATCCCTGGCTGTTCTGGAACTCACAGAAATCCTCCTGTCTCTGCCTTCTCAGTACTGGGATTAAAGGTGTAGGCCACCACACCTGGTTTAAGGCTAGGCTATTCTTGAGCTTTAGAATTTGAAACAAAATAGCAATTCGTTATGTTTCTTAGTTAAAATTGTCATAACAGTTTTCCCTGTTCTATTGTCTATTTCGAAATTTGTGTGGAGTCACAGGATGTTATAAAGATGATACAAAGTGGTTCCATGTACCCTTTACCCAGTTCCCTACCTAATCCACCAGATGCAGCCTTCAGACCGGAAACAGGACAGGAATGGGTGATTTTGAACAGCTTGTTGTATGCCTCCTTGCCATCCATATAGCCTTTTCAGTGAAAAAACTTCTTGAATGAGCCTATTTTCTAATTGGGTTTTTCATTTTTACCACTCAGTTTTAAGAATGCAGTATTTATATCTTTTAAATATGAGTCCTTCATTCATCAGATAATAATCTTCAAATATTTCTTTTCCATGCTTCTCCACAACTTGTATTGTTATCCGTGTGTTTGTGTTCGTACTGAATCATGAAGAATGTGTATGTCCTGGTGTGTGCACGTGTGTGTAATCATTGGCCTTATGGCTGGCTAGTGACGGGGATCCTCCTGTCTCCAATTCTCCAGTGCTTGGATTACATCCTGCCACGCCTGGATGTTTTATGTTGGTTCTGAGACATTAAACTCAGATTATATCATGTTTGACCAGCAGGGCTTTACCACTGGGCCATTTCCTAGGCCTATTTTTATCCTTTCAACAAAGCCTGTCCACCAAGAAAAAACTTATCTTTGATGAAGTCCAATTTATCGCTTTTGTTCCTTATGTATCATGCTTTTGCTGTCGTTTGTAAGCACTGATCCCTGAACTCTGTGTTACCTCTAAGGTTTCTTAGTATTATGCTTAGTGTTATACTGACATCTCGTGCTTTGAAGTTGTCTTTGTGTAAAGGGCAAGGAATACTGTGTCCCTGTATACATTGGGGGAACTCAAATGAGAAGGGACTGCTGAATAATTAGTACTAAATGCAACTCACTTTATTCCTATATATTTTATATTCCTATTTCCATAGTATGCATAGAAGATAATTTTAAATATTCGAAAAATGTTCAAAGAAATACCTGTTTCTCCATTATTTAATAGAGAAGTTGAAATTGTAACAGTAGGAAAATATAACACAGAAGTATGAGACAAAGTAAGTTAAAAATGTACTAAATACACGTCCTTTTTCTTGAAATAAAATGGTAGTTTGGGAAGAGAAGGTGTAGTGTGCAGCCTTCCTGCCAGCCTGGTTCCAGAGCCACATCAGTCCCAAATGAACACACAGGAGGCTCTATTAATTATGAAGCTGTTGGCAGTTTGCTTGGTTTCTTCCTGGCTATCTCTGACTTAAGAATTTACTCCATAATTGTTAATCTAAGTATTTCTCTTACTGGAGAGAGGGGTCCGAACCTCTTATTCCTATGGTGGCTACATCATGACTCCCTGTGTTTCTCTTTCCCAGAATCCTCTTCCACTCCTAGTCCCACCTATCTTGCTTCCTTATTGGCCAACAGTGCTTTACTCAACAACCAATAAGAGACGGATTTACAGAATGGCATCTCCCATCATCTCCTCTTTTCTGTCTAAATAAAAGGTTTTAACTTTAACATAGTCAAATTATATATAACAGAACAGTTATCATATAAGAGCATGGTTACAATATTTTGTCCATTAACATTTAGTAAGATTTAAAGAAAGTATTTTATTATCTATCCTATCTGTGTGAATCTAAAGTCTTATATGTAGCTTATCTTTTATCAAAACTAAGGAAAACTATGATGATAACTATCTGCCTTCAACTCCATCAAAGACCACAGAAGGATAATATATAAACACTAGGATTGGCAGAGATATCTTGCTGCCTGGACAGTCACCCGAAGTTCCTCTGTAACTTTGGGGCATCCATCTTCAGCCCATAGGCACAGTGTGTCTGGAAGACTTCTCAGCAAAGCAGGAAATTTTAAGCTGTCCATCTAGAATAGCAGTTCGTCAGTCATTTTCTGTGTCCTGCAGAAAATCTGGCAGACTCTTCCATGAACCAGGAACCCTGAAGGACTGTTTGAGTTCAGCAGTCACTTTCCTGTGGGTCCTGCATGTCCAGTTTATACAGCAACAGTCAAGCAGTCCAGGCAAGAGCAGTTTCTTGCCCAAATGGCTAATCTTGCCATGTTGAAAGCAAACTCCATAATGAGTTTCTTCGATGCCCATCTTCCTCTCAGACGTAATTGGTGCTGCCAGGAGCAGACATTTCTCATTGTCAAGAAAAACCCTAAGCCATTTTAAATGCCATATTCTGAAGGTCTTTGAAAGGTTTGAAGACTATCTATCTATCTCAAATACATCTATATATATCTAGAAAACCTAACTTACCTAACTATAAGTTCTATTATAAGTAACTATCTATAGTCTGATTTAATTATGCATTATGTTTTAAAAGATTAGAATAAACGCAATACTTAATCAAGAGAAATATACATATGACAAAATTGACCTTGAATTTGTATCAATAAATGAAAAACCATACCCATACCAAGTATTCATGTCCATACCATAATACCCCATTTACCATTAAAAAGAGATTGGCTGTGACATTAACCAATTATAAGCAACCCCATTTAAATGAAAACAAAGATTTTTAAACAATATGGGAATTTGGACGTCGCTCATTGCAAACTGCTTCCTGCTGGATGTGGGCGCTGTTCATACCATGGGGATCATGACAAAACTCAGAAACCTGTATAAGTCCTTATTTTCGGGTTCTGTAAGGCTGCATCATCTTAGCTGTTCTAGATGTTGAATCACTTGGGCCACTGCTTCCGGGGGTCTTGGTTCATCAAACCACAGAAGCCTGGAAGAAATCCACAGCTTTCCATTTTCTGTGGAAACATAAACAAAAACTCTTTTCCCAAGTAACCAGTCTGTAAAGGGAAGCTTTTTCTTTCAGAGGAGCCGTTCCGCCAGCCTGGTTCTAGAGCCGCATCAGTCCCAAATAAACACACAGGAGGCTATATTAGTTATGAAGCTGTTGGCCTTGCTTGTCTCTTACTGGCTAGCTCTGCTTTAAGTAATTACCCCATAATTGTTAATCTAAGCATGTCTCTTACCGGAGAATAGTTCCAGGCTCCTAACCCATGGTGTTACATGTTGACTCCTTCCCAGAATCCTCCTGGACTCCTAGTCCCACCTATCTAGATTCCTATTGGCTCAACAGTACTTTATTGACAAAGGACTTCCCCAAAACCAGTCCTTATATTTAAAGGTAGAAGTCAAAGCATTTTTGAAATATATAAGTTGGATTAATTCAGCAGCATTTATAATCAAGTATACTTTAGCAGTTTTTTTTCTTCTTTAGCAATTAAAAAACTGAAAAACACAATAGCATACAGTATCCAGACACTGTGTATTTTCCATCTTTACATGGCTTATTTATTTATCTATTATTATTACTCTATTTCTTTTACTTTTATTTATTTATTCATTTCTCTGAGATGGGGTTTCTCTGGAAATACGCCTGCCTCTGCTTCTGCAGCAAATCCTACCAGCGTGCGCCACCACAGCCGGCTTCTCTGTTTATTTAGCACTATGTCGTTTCTTTTTCTCTCTCAATCTTATGTATATTTTTGAACACACTGTAAACCTTTAGAGGTTTTTCTTCATCTGAATCTGACTTTACAGTAAATCTTTATGTTTTTCTGGCCATGTGTCTTATCTACAAAAAACCATGGCTGTTTAAACTGGAGTTTTTCCAAGATGGCGGGCATAAGTTTGACTCCAGCTTACTACCTCAGTCTATGATGACATCCAGCAAAAGCTGCCTGCTTGGAGATGTGGTCACTGCCACTTCCAGCTGTATGTACACACCTTTCAATTGTTAGCAGAGCCTCTTAAAAGAACCTTGCTGGTTTTTGTTTTTTTGTTTTTGTTTTTTTTTCTTACGCTGAGTCAGGAAGACTCCCTTAAGTGAGCCGCGTGAGTCTCTGCTTGTCTCTAGCAAAACAGAGCCCACCTGAGAAAAAATGCTGCTACCAAGAAGCTGTGCTTCTGTCCATTCTTTTTTTTTCTAAAATTCCTTTTAAGCTGTTGTCATTCTACGTGGAAATTCAATCCCACTCCTGACAACCAAGAAGGAAAGGTCAAGCTTGTGGTCCCGTACTCCTCAGGGGGAGAGAGGGACTGACCGAGGTAGCCCACAAGACCTTATGGTCAGGTCAGCTGGAACTCTCTCCTTAGAGTAGTTACTCCATAGCAGAGGACACAGCATCTTTACGTGAATAGCTGAGGCTTTCCAAAACAATCAGACTTCCTTCCTTGTTGCTCTCACCCATAAGTTCTACCTCACATTTTATTGACAAACTTAATAAATTCAATTGTTCAACACAACAGCCATTCTAATATTTGGAGATAGCCCCTGCTTCTTGTATTCACTAGGGACTTTTCCTTTTCTCCACTAAATGACTTTATGTTCTTCGGTCTTCGTTCGGTTCCCTGTTAATGGGAATTTTAGTCCCTTGTGTTACT